TTCCACAAAAGCATCTTTCCGGATGGCCGCGTACATATCATCAGCCAAATGCGGCGTCTTGTTGGCAATTATCGCCCAACCAAGAACCTGAAATGATTAATGAATACAACATTGAAGGTGAATAATTCCTCACCACATCCCCCATAGTGCCAACCATAGAGCCCCTCTGGCCAGGTGACGCCCACGTCGGTAACCATCCAGCTTCCTTATAGGCATTCACCCACCCCTCTAAAAGACGATCTAGAATGTCCGGAGCGGCAACACTTAACCAGAGGTAAACCGTCCTGTAAGCATCCCAAAAGCCACTGTCAGTCGCCAACTCGCCGGGTACGACTTTCCCAGTATAAACACTGTAGTGCCCGAGTTGATTATTCTGATCATATTCACCAAGGAGTCTCGGGAACAGCATAGTTCGATAGAAATTGGTATAAAAAGTTCTCAAAAAGTTACTGTTTCGCTGTACTGTATCATAGGTAACCAGACTTAGGCGTGTTTGCCATACGTCTTCACCTTCCTTCACGAAAGTATCAAAGTTCTTACACCAAGGTAACTCCCTCGCCAAATTTACTTGAGCTTGTTCATTAGAGATAAAAGAAGTAGCGATACGGAGGTGTACCGAAAGTCTTTTATTATTTTCCGCAGCATCATACTCCAGCATGATTGAACCATCTACGTTGCGCATGCGTGCAGGTGGTGGGTCAATTGCCCCATTGATAAACATGGCGAACCCAGGCAATACACCACCGTTGTTAACACTGGTTTGAGCAGAAAAACGACCCTCCTTGTCGAGCACGACTGGTGTCGATGAGTTATAGTCGAATAGTCTCACGAGCACCGCTGAATTCACCTTGGGTGGGAATGAAAACCGAAAAAATGCAGCATGTTCCGTCGGGGTCATTTCAATCCTAGCGCCACCCATATCAGCGTTACCAGGATACAGAGCCGATGACTTGAAGTAGTGTGGCTTGTAAGTAGTCTGCAGCGGAGCGAACGACACAGATTGCTGTGGTTCGTCATGGGATATGATAGCATTAACGAGAAAATAACCATAGTCGCCCAACCATACGGACGGTTGGTGAGTGCATCG